CAAGGGGAATTCAGAGTCAAGAATTGGTTAAGTTTCCTCTACGGGTATACCAGTCGCCAGGGCTGCCCAATCATAGTCTAGGACAGCAATCATGTTTGCTTGGCCTAGCCCGTATTGGCATAGAAGTCCACGAAAAAGCAACATCCTACAAACCAAAGCCGACACCTCCAAATCATCCCCAGACTCAAGGAAGCCAAGAAACTGGCACCACCTCCATACCCAAAAGCCGTCCTGTGCTTCCCGGACGCTGAAGAGGACGGCATCTCAATCTCCTTAAGCTATCAAATGCTATCACACTGAAGACCAAGCCTTTGACATTTGCAAGCGCTGTCTTGTGCTGCCAACGCACATCACAACAAACGATTTTAGAAGGATCCTGGACGGGAGTCTCGGCCTTCGAGCGTGCCCATTCGGGTTCACTATGGTTTTGCATGCCTCGCGGTAGAATTGAAGGACCGCCACCTTCAAGACACCCCCCCTACCACCCAACAGCTCTCCCTGCTTGGTCCTTATAACTAACGTGAAAAATCCCCCTGAACACTTACAATGTTTTACATTGTTTCACAGTTACAGGGCTCTGGAGCCCTCCCAGCTTCTCTTTCGAGCCGGGACGCCAGCATCTGCACGCCATCCACCGCTACGGCGCAGCTGAAGCCCGGGGAGGCAGCGCTGCGGCGGATGGTAAGCAAAGCCAGCTGATTGGCCTGCTGCAACATAAGGGTTTTGGGGTTTAAGTGTTGAGGGGTCTAGGTCTGTTTTGGCAATTTAAGGTTTAAGGTTGGGGGCTTCGTTTTCAGTTTAGGGTGCAGGTTATAAGCCATGACCCTGAGGGTCCATGTGCCCAATAATTGGGTACCTGGGGTTTTGCCAATAGAATTTGTAGCCAGGTCTTGGGTAAGTGTATGATTATTGGGTCTGGCCTGCATTTCACAGTTTCTCGGAGTTGATGGGATATTCTCGTTGGAGCACTCAGGTAGGAAGCTGACTCATAGAATCCAGTAAAACACCAGATTTAGAATGACCTGCCAAGTCTGAGAAATACAATGCACGTATCCCTTATCATCATCCGTAGTTGCTTTGTTGGGGGCAGGACATGCGGACCAAACCACCTACCTAACCAGCGACCCTTTGGCCCAAACAGGTTTTTCAACTGAGACCACTCATATGGCTTATCATGGCCCCTAGGCATCCACTGCAAGTTTTAACCAACATCAACAATGGAATGCGTGTCACCTGGACACATGGCGGCGAAGCATTCTTCTCCAGATCAGCCTTCAAGCCTCGGTGTCACTGAAGCATGCAATGCAGAGCTAGACTTGACACAAACCTACTGAGAAAGCTGAGGAGAAGCCTTGCTTGCTTGGCTAAACAATACCTGCTGCAAGAGCCAAACTAATTACCAACGTTTATTTGAAGTCTATTTGAGGTGCCCTTACCATAAGAAAAAAGGAATAAGGACCGTGATATCGGCAATTACGTATAGACGCCCATAGTAGCTGCGCGAAGCCTTTAGCAGAAGCTGAGCAACTCTCCTTAGTATCGGCAAAGCTTGCCGAAATCCGCCCATCCTGCACAGATCGCATGCGCCGCATGTTTTGGGGCTGAAAACTTAAACTCTGAGCATATACTCTTGGTTTCTACCATGAGAAGCTCTGAGTGTCCTTCGCCACGTAGATGGCAGGCATCAACTTGTCGCCTGTCGCCGAAGCCTGCACCGAACGGATATCGGTGGAATGCACGTGTCAGTGTTGTTTCGTATGCTTTTTCTTGTGGGATGGGCATGGTTTGAGAAGGGAAAATCCTGAATTGTGTGGGGGCCTCAACGAACGTAAGCACATCCCTGGGGTACCTTTTTGCATCCTGTAGAGTCATCATTCATCACCTCGATCTTCTAACTGGTCCATCGTAATGAGGCAAAATGTAAAGCATCCTAGACAAACCAGGCTGCCCAGTTCCCTGCTGCAGGAAAAGGTCACACAGAGATTGAGTAGGTATTCCGCGCAGCGGCCCTGAGACTCACGAGACCCTTGGGGCTGGAAATTAACCATCAAACACAGCATCTGCCCTCGCCTCTGTGGTGGAGGCAAAGCTGAAAAGCAAACTCCAGCCTTCCAAGATCTCCTGTGCAGCGACAGTAATTTTCCCCTGTGAGGAAGAACATGTGACTTAGTTTTGCTGTTGTGGGTTGTGCCGTGCTTTAGCCATACGTACAGTCGCGCTTTCATTCTGTCACGGCGGCTGCTGTAGTTCACTAAGAAACTTCGTGACCCCCACCCGCACTTGCAAGATATTGCAAGATTCATGATGCATGACACCGCAGGTCCTTCAGCGTCAAACCGAAGGTGAGGACGCCCTCATCAGCTACCGCAACCTTTCTCGGAGGTTCCTACAACTGACTACTGCTGCAACTCCAACATGAGGCCAGAGCCACTGATTCAGGGGGCCGTCTGGAGGCAAGGCAAGACATGGCTGTATAGTATATGGCTGTAACATGGCTTGACTCTTCAGCTCCAGGGGATATTCAAACAGAGCAGCAGCTTTGGAATTTGCTCGCCCTGGAGTGAAGCAAACTTGGCCAAGCAACCTCCTTCGCCAAGATGCAGCTAGGCCGCAAGTCCTTGTCCTCCTGCGCAGAGGACACATCATCAGCGTGGTCGGGAAGTCAGCAAAGTACCGCTAATTTCTAGGTGAATGCTTCCAAGTCTTATTCATCATTCAGGACACTCTCTCCTGTAGCCATGGCGACTCAGACCAGCGCCGCGCAGCATCGAAAAGCATCCTTGGTAGTTTTGGAGGCCTAATTACAGTAGCTGGAAGGGGACCAGCATATCTGTGGTGCTCACACTTGCCCACCAGGGCACCGGAGGTCAAAGCCGTCGAAATCCGAAACAGGTCTGCTGCGGAGAATCCGAAGGAGACCTACGTCCAGCGCAGACATTGTCATTGTGCCGCAAAGCAGCGCAACGCGTTTCGCTATCATGCTTACTGTGGCAATCTCCTTTCTGATTCTGCTCTGCCATGTCTGCACACGGTCTAGAGTCCAGAGGAACCAAAGCCTGAGCAATTCCTGAGCAACTGGTCAGGAGTCTTGCCCCACAGCCTCGGTCGTGGCTACCGATCGCACCGCTGGATCCTTTCTGAAAAACTCGGTTATGAGTGGGTGCAAATGCAGCAGCAGCGATTGATCTTCTGCTTGCCGCTCCGGCAGCTTCCTCCTCTGGGCATGCATCCACTGGTACAGCTTTGACTCATAGTTGTTCTTGGTGTCAACGGGCAGCCGTCCAGCTTGGCTGACAAATCCTTGGAGCTCCAAACATTTGTCTTGTCGGATTGGCATCGGAGGCCTCAATGGCGCACACAAAAACTCTGACACTAAAGCATGGATGCGACTTAGCTCCTCTCTGCGACTCCTTTCTTTGACGGGGCTGAATGCATGGCGGTGGATGGACGCCTTCTGAGATCGCAGCCAATGATAGAGGTTTGCAGGTTCGCTGGTAGAATCTGAGCCCCGCTGAGGCAGCTTGCCATACTTCGTCAAGTATTCTTTCAATTCACCGCACCTGGCCCGGAACGAAGCTCCAGGATCATCCAGCCACTTCAAAACCTGGCGGCGGAGCAGCAGTGATGATGACGCACATAGCTGAGTCCTTCGATGCGCAGCTGTCGCTCCACTTCTTCGAACACTATCGACAGTGTCCCTTGACCAGACATACAGAGACTTCTCCTTTGGTTCAGCGGACCTTTTGCTTGGCATGCGGCCATGCCGCTCGACAAAATCCTCCAGCTCATGCAGACGTTTTTCCCACTTATCGTGCGGACCCCGCGGCTGAAGGCATGCCAAGAGCTGATCGAAGCAACTCTGAATCGCCATGAGGCCGGTATTTTGCAAGGATCTGCAGTCCACAAAGTCAAGCCTGCGCCGCAAGGAACTCATCGTAGAATTTGCAAGGCGGCTGTCTGCCTGGGCGATGGCAGACAGAAACCGTTCAAGCTGCGATGCATGGCTGGTGTCTGTCCACGCGAGTGAAGAGCGAGCGACCTTGAATCCGAGTCCTTCCATGGGGGCGGGATGCAGTGCCTGGATGCCTTCTTGATCAGGGAGAGCTGGCCTAGATGAGCTGCTGTCAGTGAAGCTGCTTCCCGTGACAAAATTGTCTGTGCACGGCGATTCTTTACCACGCGCAGGCAGTCCAAACATGTTCCCACGCAAGTCTGGCGATTGCCAAGATTTATCAGCCGATGCCATATTCACCGCAAGCCATGAAGATGAACTGAAGGTGACTTCAGAACTACTCTGGTATACAACGGTGTCTGCGCCGGTAGTTAGCATGGCATGCACTGCCACAACCTTCCGCTGAGCCACGGAAGACTTGCGAAACATGCCACCTGCATGTTGCAACCGTCCCTCAGCAGCGGCAGACAATCGTGAAAAGTCCGTATCTTTCTGAGATTTCACTACGTCATCTTGTCTCGTGCCCGGGTGGAAATGTGCTTGGAAGCTGCGGCTGCTGTTGCTGCTGCTGCCGCCATCCGGGCCACATTTCCGTGATGCAGCCGGGCTGGAAACCTCCAAGCTGGCATGCCATGCTATAGTTGGCGCGGCTTCAGAGCCACCCAGTGTGCCCTTATATGATCTGCATGCATTGGATCTAGACTGTGCGGCTCCGGCTGTCACGTTTGCAGTTCGCAAGTCACGGGGCACGGCTTGGGTGCTGACCGTTGAGCCGCGACTTGTGGCTAAAGACGAGGTCGAGGCTTCGCCACCTGTGTCGAGACACACAGAAGTAGGACTGCTCTCGCTGGTAGGGGCGACCAGTAAAGCTTTGCTTGCATCACTAGCAGGCACGGCTGCTGATGCGAATAGTGGCATTGCCGGAAGAATAATGTGAGCAAGTGGTTTGCAGACGTGCTGCCGAAGTATGCGACCAACCGCTTGAACTATGGCACGAAAACTGTTGCGCGGCTCGACGAACATGCATGTGTCCGCGTTGGGTATGTTCACACCTTCACCCAGCACCTCAACTGTGACCAGTACGTGCATCAGTCCCTGCATGTCACCTGAGAAGGTTTGGATCACAGCCTTTCTTTCACTTCGGCTCGTTGCAGCGTTGATGTGCCATGCAGCTAGCCCAAACTTCTCAAGCACTTGCCGCACGAGCTTCGCTTCCCTCACGGAATTGCAATATGCCAGCACCCTCCTGAAGCGGCCGTGATTCCTCAACAGCAGACTTGCCAAACATGCATAGGCATGGCTTTGCGTGATCACGGGCACGGTGAGGTCGTAATCACACAGAATGCCATCCTCAATAGCTTGCCCCATGCTATACTTAAAGTCTGTGGCATTCCGGTGCGTAGCTGAGAAGAAATATATGTCCTTCCCTTGTGGCACGCCTTGTGGTAGAGGATGGTGAGCTTCATCTACAAATATGGCTCCAAATCTCAAATCTTTGAGAAGGTGCACAGAGTTAGAAACCGCGATGAAACCTGCAGCGCGCTTATTGATTTGGTGGTTGTATCCCGTCCCGACTTCGCAGAAGTTGGGAAAATCGGACGCAAACTGCTCCAGAAGCAATCGTGATGGAACAATGATCAGAACCTTGTCATGATGAAGCGCCACACATGATTTGTTACCTAATTACTCAGCCTACAAATAGCACACGTAAGTTGGAACCCGCCTTCCTGCCCCACTCATCTCTGGCCTGCGCCCCTGATGACCCAGACTCAACACGGGCCCTACAGCTCCAATTCGGCGTTACAATACTTCATACCCAAAGTTAACAATACCAGGTGCTAATGACAGTTCAGCTTGCTTGCCAAAGATAGATCGCATATAAAAGCACGCAGGATTTAAAAAGTCATGCCAAGCCACCTGGTCAGATATGTTCCTAGCAAGCTCCTGGATGACGCGCGTTTTGCCTGTGCCGCAGGCCATCTGGATCACACGGGCCCCGTTTGCGCATGCTTCCAGGCAGGCCTGGAAAGGGGACTAAAATTGATATACCGGAGTCACATCAATTCGCCGAAGTCGCAATGCAGCCGCTAGATTGCCATCAGTAAAATGTAAGGCCTGCTGGCACGGCCTCAAAGGCGGAGGGTGCGGAGAGCTTTCTGACATGCCGAGCTCTTCGTGGACCGAATCTTGTGCCAAGGTAGCTGCCAGTCGCTGGACTTCTGCATTGCTGATGGTTTTGTGCTTGGCGCCATGCTTCTTTAGCCACTGTTTCGACTGCTCTGGCAGCTTGGTACCCCAGCTGGTGATCAGCAAGCAGTCGTTGGCCTGGACCGGCAAAAGAAATTCTTTTGCAAATGCTACCATTGGGAGTTGGAGGCGCCCTACACATATATGAGCACAAAACTTACACAAAATGTGCGGGGAATGCTTGCCCTGGGCTTTTCCGGACTCGGGGCCTTGCATACCCAAACGGCAGTGCGCAAGAAACGCTTGATGTCGCGGTGCAGTGCTGTGGCATTGTCACTCCCAGAGTGGCATAAGACAACTGTGCCCCCATCGATGCTGACCAGGTCTACACCTAAGGTGCGTGACTGTCAGAAGACCATGACGCTGGACTAGACTTGCGAAGATGGTGGCGAGTCTACTGAGTCTACTTACTTCAAAGCATACACCATGTAGGGAGCCTGAATCCCGTGCTCTCTCTTCAAATCGCGGAAGCCTAAATCGGTGCTCTCCCGAATCCCAAAGCTACCATCTTAGCGAAAGGCCCATTTGGCGGCGCGAAAGGTTCTGCCGCTCAAAGAACCATGGCGGCAGCTCCTGGATATCAAAAGGCCAAGTTAATCTAAGGCCATCATCAAACTACTAGCTTGGTGACATAGAGCTTTATCTTGAGGGTCCGGGGGCAAACGCAGAGGCGTGAACAAGACTTTGAGGGGCCAACGGGCATGCCGGCTTCTGATCATCCTGCCTTATGCTCCTCGGGGATGGAGGATTCAGATCCGTCTATGTCCATCCCGCTTTCGTGTAAGGCATTTGAGGTCAGGTTGTTGGACACGCTGCGTCCGCATAGGCTCACGGCCAATCTTGCTTTTAGATTCTGGCAAACCTTGTTTACGGATAGTGTAGTTCTACAAGAAATCTGTAACCACACTGCTGGGAGCCATTTCGGACGCTACGTTACAGAGATTCAGCTTTATCTTTGGGATCCTTATTATGGGATATACGGATAATGAGGTTTATCGTGGGGTACACACAAAGAGGCCACAAGCCCGCTTCAATCATGACGGCTAATGATTGTTCAGCTCGGCTCCTGAAGTGGCACCGTGCCTGTCTTCAGCGCAGCGGCCCACATCAGCTTCCTGGCAATGAACATGCTCGCCCATGATGTGGAAGCGTGATTAATGAACCCCTCCCCATAACAGGGATTAGAATAGAGATCCTATTATGAGGGTCCTTAAGATTCAAAGGAATGGGTTTATAATCACGGGACTACAGTAGTCCCGGCAAGTCTTGACAACTTGTGTGCTGAGGCTTAGTGCTGCCATGTACACCATGGAATCCGCACGAAATGCAGGTGAATGCGTAACTGGAAACACTCACCACAACCCTTGATTAAGCCTGGCTAGACGTCATCTTGGAAGGATGGCAGGGGTCAGTGAGTGCTACTACTCTCGCCCTTGATATAGTCCCGGCAGGTCTTGACAACTTCTATGCTGAGGCTTAGTACTACCATGCCTGTACACCATGGAATCCTGACAAAATGCAGGTGAATGCGTAACTGGAAATGTTCACAAGAACCCTGGGCGAGGTCCGGCTAGACTGCTTTGATAGAAGACATCATCCTGGAGGGATGGCAGGGAAGCTTTTGCTAAATGGCCACTGGTCTGGGTCTAGTAGAATAATGACTCCCCAGATAACCTGAAGCCAGTGGGAGACCCTGAGCCTCATAGAGCGATTCCAAATGTAAAGCTCTTATAAGATGACAGGGGAAGATCACAAATGGCCCATGGCATGACGATTGGGACACCTGTTTTGAAATGGCCCAATTCTTTGGAAGCCCAAAGTCACTGAAACTTGATCTCTGGATTCTAGATGCTGCTCCAAATCTGATCCAAGCATCCTCTGCTCTGTGGTGTGGGGCCAACTTAGAGCTTCGTATGCCAGGCCGCGCACGCGGGCAAGGAAGTCTTCATCCCTACCTGGGCTGGTTTGTGCGGTCAGTTTGTGACAAGCAAAGCGAATCCACCCGAAAAGAGGCAGAGCATTAATCACATGGCAAAGTGCTTGCACCAGCCGCAGTCACCGCCGAATCCAACTTTGATGCCAGCAGGCCTGTCCTGTGCTGCTCTGTGCACTCTACTAGATACAATGGAGATTTGATTGGACGCCATGACTTCTACTGGGAACATCTGGGAACTTCAGCTGACTTATGAATGCACCGGCTGTCTCATCCAAGACCTGCGCAATCCATTCAAGCTGCATTAACATACGTGGTGTGCTTGCAGGTGTCTGTCCTCCGCAACTTTTGTGGCGAGAATGCTGATGGCCCCACCATCAAGATACCACGCAAGCCGAATACACAAATGCTCATCGCCAGCCACGTCCAGTTGGCCCTCCGCCGGGCGGTGTAGACGCCACGGCCATGAAAACTCGACCGCACTGCAGCACTGGCGTACATATCAGAGAGGCAGCTCTCTGCTCTGGTTGCGCTTATTAGCGCCGAATTCCATGCAGCAGGCACATATGGCCGCCGTCTTCGAAAGCACGACAACCGGTTGAGCCAGGGTGGGGAATGGACACAAAGGGGAGACCTGACTTCACACAACGGCCCTCATCCCCAAAAAAACGACCCGACCAATGCACACCCATGGCCAAGGAAAAGTGCCCACTCAAGAAATGCTGAGTTTCCTTCACCCCGACTGAGCTGAATACGTGAAAGTTTTCTCACCTTCAAGCTTCCGAGGCAAGGGGCCAACGCATTTTCCTGGATGCTTAAACAAGGCGCGGTTTGGACCTCGAGCTTCGTGTGAAACCCAGGGTTGAATCCAAACAAGGAACAGGCAAGATCCTTGTTTCAGTACAGAAGGCTGTTTGGAGCAAAGGAAACCCCGAACTTCATCCCTGACCCGCACTCGATAGATGTCATCCAAATCTGAAATGAAACATCCGCCCAAACTCGACATAATTCTACCATAGGTGCTGAGGACCCCAAGTTGGACTCTAAAAAGCCATCTCAAAATTACGGAGCGAAGCAGAAAACCAAAAGATTTTGGACCCCGCGCCTGCTGCCTCGCTGAGTCCGGGTACTTTTGAGCGCAGCGGCGCAGCCAGCCAAAGGAGTCTGCAGAAGGCCTTCAGAAAGGACGGGCGGGGGCTCAGCGACCTCAAGTTGAGTAGAAGGGGGGGACCTCTAACAGAATCTGGGTCCCTTTTGGAGGATCCCTGCACCCAATTTTCTGGGGTGCCCATGCGTGGTGAGGCTGACAGGTACCTTTCCGCCAAAATTAGGCAAAACATCAGCCCAAAATCCTCGGGCAAATTGCAAACAAAAATCCACTATTCCACATACTCTTGGGGCTTAGGTAGAGACTGGAAATGCAAATTTGGGAGCCCACCTTGGTCGAGACTTGCGCAGCATCCGCGGCCTAGGCTCCACGGCATGTAATCTGTCTACATACACTCCCCAGACCTCTTTACCCTACCCCTTTTTTCGCGTACCTACTTCTGTATGTAGAAGATACAGACGTAAAGTTGGGTATCCTAATTAAAGGTCAGGATACAGGAGTCTAGGACCCCGAATTACTAATGAAAATCAAGGTTCACAACCTCAGATTCGTTTTGATGAGCGTGCTGGAAATGGTTAACATTCAGTCAATGGGAAAACAGAGGGGGGACGACTTCTGTTCCGGTGAGCGCTTCTGTGGATGGAGGAAACCTTGAATCAACTTGCTACCATTATTCTATACTGAGGATCTTGAATCGTAAGCAGTGAAACGACCCCCCATCCCCCGTACCATTCCTGAGAGATGACAGGTTTCCCGTTTTTATCTCATCAAGCTCGGATTATGCCACCATGGTGCGCGCAGTTTTTTGGCCATGAGAGCCACTTCTGACGCCCCAGGGGCAATGCCGAGGCGCTTCAGGCCTGTTAATTACACAGAACAAAAGCTGGAGGAGGTGGAGGAACAAGCGGCAAAGTACAGAGATCCTGATGGGAGGAAGCAAGTTCCTGTGTAGCACGTGGACGTGTTAAGATTGGCCAAAGCTATGAATTCAAGTGAAGATCCTGGGGCCACCTTGTAAATCTATCACATGTCAGAGTCGGAAGCATCTAGCAGTTGCAGTTCTGAGCACTCAACGTGTGATATTTGCAAAGGCTATAGGGGCTATGGCGCTCTCCCGACTTCCGGGTCGAGGGGCCTTCCTTGACGTGTTACGCCGGCCTCTGGCTAGCTAGGAATGAAGGAGTTGATCCTTTTAGAGTAGTCCCTATATAGCCCACTATAGCAATTTTCATGTTCTTTTCCATTCCTTCATTCCCACCATAAACCCTAAACTCATTATAGTAGTTTCCATTCCTTCATTCCCAAAACACTTAACCCTAAACCCATCATAGTAATTTCCATTTTGCTTTCCATTCCTTTATTCCCACCCAAAACCCTAAACCCATTGTAGCAGTTTCCATTTTCTTTCCCATTCTTACATTCCCACCCCTAAACCTAATGCCAGTAAAACTACACGAGTCAACTTCGACAATTTAGCCGGCCTTCCAGAGCCATGAGCGAAGCTTCCACATCCGCCAGTTCCTGCAACATTTGTGACATTTTTCAAGGTAGTCGTTCAGAAGGGTTTGAGTGTGTTTATACATCGGGAAGACAGGCTTATATAGGCATGTGTATGTATGTATACGGTATGTGTATACAGATGATGCCCTCCGTCAACACCCAACTCTACACTGGGGCTACATTTTGGATGCCCGTGTCTTGCAGTTCGCGGGGTGAATACAATTTAAGCTGAAGACATGCGTTGCATACAGAGAGATTCTCTGCAATGAAGTCCGAACAAGAAATCAACCGGCCGAAAGCAGCCGCCACTCTGGGCAGACTGGAGCTAGACCCCAGATGCCTTAAATGTTAATCCTGAGCTCTGGAAGTTTGATCCCAACATGAACCCTGGGTCCGGGGCTCAAGCACACCTCAAATCGATAGTTCTTGCGCCGGCAGAGTCCCAACCCGCAACCCCAAAACAAGCTCAGACCTCAAACATGTCCTTTCTCGATTCACCTGACAGCACTTCCCTAAACCCTCAAGGAGCTGACCTAACCCTTTCTGCTACTCCCACCCTCTCTGCCCTAGACCCCAACACCCTCAGCCTCGGCGCGACTCATGTCAATTCTCAGCCGGCCCACCAGCTCGGATATCGCGGGGTCCTGCCATGATGCACTTCCATTCATGTTAGTCATCTTGATAATGGTTAGGTATGAGATATCCTTCAAGGCCAACAATGTTACCTAGTTGCTTTCATGCTCATTGCAGAAGCTGTCAGTCTTGAGATCGTGCTGGTGGAGGCGTGAGGGGAATTAATTCAAGAGTTCCATGACGTGGCAATTGAGACTTCACAAAACCAAGTAGACCCAAAGCTCTGGCCTTTGCCCATGCTTTGCGCGTTCGAGCTGTGGATCTTTGAGCTATACGGAGTAGTGCCTGGCCGGGAAGACATATTCATGCACCTAAATAAACTCAAAGCTATGGAGGACCATGTTCACCAATCAGGCTCCCTGAAGCTGGCCCCGGAACCGCACCTTCGAATCCTCAGTCTTTCTAACCCTTCCCCAATTCTCCAAAACACGGCTTCTGCTCGAAAGGAAAAACCTGCACACCGCAGAGAACCTGCGCTCCCCATCGCATGTCCCAGCACCGGGCGATGGCACCTCTCACGTCGGCAAAGAAGCTTCAACAAGCCGAGTCCTACTCCAAAGCGAGCTGTCACGGTCCTTCCTGCAGACTTTCGAGTTCTTATGAATCACCGTGGCTGTGGTCTTAAGACCTAACTTGAATGTACGGAACGGCCACCGCCTCGAATGCCAGCGTGTGTTCATTTCTCTTGTGATGCCCAACTGCGAATGTTGATGGGTCCGAACGACAACGTTTCCTATGCCACTGGAAACTCATCAAAGGGCCTCCGCTGAGCTCCTTCCGCAATTGCGCCACGGCCTTGAGATCAGAGCTGATGCTTAGGGAGGTCATGTTTGTGACAGCAGGAAAGAAGTGTTCACATCAGCCTCATCCGTCAGCCCTAAGAGACGCCTCAGATGCCGTAGGCGATTCCCGGAACTTGAGCGCGATCTCCTGTGGACTCTGTAGCAAAGCCCTTACATCATTGGCTACGGAACTGAAAACCCCACACATGCGAAATTCTACATCCCTAAGCCCTAAACCCTATAAACCCTAAACCCTATAAACCCTTCAACCCTTAAACCCTGAAACCAAAGTGATGTCAGTCGCTCCTCGATGACCTCAGCAGGTGGTCGCATAGGCGCCGCTGGTGGAGGCTCTGGAGCTGCTGCACGCGCACGCTGAATCTCCAAGGTCAGGGCAATGTCTCCAACTATAACAGATGATAGTATACCATACTATACTATAAGAGACTATAATATGCTATAGTATACTATAAGATACTATAGTATGCTATATTGTACTATTATATACTGTAATATGCTATAATGTACTATAATAGCATTTCTACAGATTTATGTGTGCACCTGTGGGGGGGGGGGGGGCAACGCACGGCCGTTCGTTCCGTAATGTCTCTTGTTGAGGAAGGGGCATTGTCAAAACGCGGGTCGCACATGAAACCCAGAAAAGTGTAGGCGTGCCCGGTTGCAATGCTCAGGCCCTGGAGGCTCTGCATTTGGAGCTTGAAGGCTACTGTATAAGGCCTACTTTATCACTTGTCCCGAGGCAAGAGTCCGGTCTAGTGCATGGGCTAGGAGTTGGGCCCCTATTCCGCAGTCTAAATCTGCAGATAGGAAGTTACAACAGAAGTGACCCCAAGCGACGCGGCCCTGATCTGAAGACGGAAATGTATGCATTGAGACCATAATGTCTTAAGACGTCCAGAGGCCACAATTTGAAGAGTTGAAGCCTGCAAGGCTCTTCTGGTCTCTAATGTTTTTTTCATATGCTTAAAACTTTCATCTTCCCATGCGTCAAGCAGGAAGACCCTTTGAAATTACATAGCCATGCGGATCCAAAAAAAAGAATTTTCGTGTTGCGATAGAAAATTCCTCATCGCTCACCGAAAAATGACACCATGAAGACCATCATCTCAAAGAACATGCTGCTTGCAAGAAAAAGGCTGAACCGTAGCAACCTGTCCGGTGCACTCAAGTCTCTGAACACGTCCGTCTGACTTGACTCCTTCTGGTACGTCTAATGCAGTTTGGGATTGATGTATCTTTAGCATTCCTGAGCTACCCTCCCTACGATCCGAAGCATACCCTGACTTGAGAAAGATTGAAAGAAAACGTTTCGCTCCTCAAGCTTCAGCCTGTCCAGCTTCTGACACTCTTTCAGGATCCTGGCGCACGGGTGTGTGTGCGGCATAGCCCCATGCGGACATTAAGGCTCCCTGAACTCAAAACCCTTATCCCAGCAGAGCACAACACCGCCAAAGGCGCGAAAAAAAGATTGTGCCCTAGATGCAAACATCCCCCCAAAACGAGAACTCTCCTCAAGCGTTCTCCACGATGCCAACTACTTGCAACCTTGATGAAAATCGATACCTGGATGATGAGCGGATCCCATATACAAGAGGCAAACCGCTTGAAAGCTTGTATCGTTCAGCCCTCGAAACCCAAACAATAGGCCTGGCAGGCGATAGAACAGTAGACTTCAGGGCTTTGACGGCTAGACACACAAATAGCGGGTAAAAGACACACATGACAAACATCTAGACAGGGACATCTGGCTTCAGGCCCCGCGGAATCAATCCCAAGGAGTCAGTATCCGTTGAACAAAATATGTGCTTACATGTGCTTACGTCCCTTATTCGTTCCTATGTGTTGTGGAGTAATGAACGCCCAACGAATCAAGCAGCTACTCAAATCCTGTGAAGTACTGGTAAAGTGCAACTTGCTTCTATTTGAGTCCAGGTCGCTGCATGGCGTCGCCGCGGCAGCCATTGGCTGCAATGATGCGGTCGCCAGGCCTTATAGCCCTCCTCGCCAGTCTCCCGCGAACAAGAATTCCGTTTTGGGGCTTTTGGTTGTACATTGAGGCGAGCCTTGGCAGGGGATTCCCAAGCCTTTGAACGAAGGGGGCCCCATGATTTCAACTCTTGTACAATGGGCAGGCTCTAGTTCACATGCGTTTGGCCTAATTGTAGGTGTCAGATTTGGGTCTCCAACCTGAACACCATGCAAGAATCTCAAGTCGTCAATCTGCTTCACAGGGTGTGAACCTCTAGTAACACGAGGTAGGCGGAGACAACATCACTGGAGCTTGGACAGATTGAGGCCCCAACCCGAACACCGGCATCAACATCGCGATAGCCATAAGACTATCAAGGTAACCTAAGCAGCGGCAATGGAAACGTGCCTGACATTCTAACTAGGCGCTGTGTATCTTCTGATGGCAAGGCCCGAAAATCCCATTGCTTCTGTTGTCTATTGCCCTGCGCTCCCAGCACGTCCGTGGCACCACTTAGCCACCATGCCGTCCGGCTTGACCTGAAAGATGCAACGATCGCTCTAGCAAGACTTTGTCTCTATGGTGGTTAGAAAGTAGCCCTAGAAGTATTCAGTACCTACAAATTGCCAAGCTGTGAAAAGTATTCTCAGAAGTACTTGGGTTTATGAGTACCATCCAAGGCTCAGCAGAAAAGAGAGATGATTGCGTGAATGACGACACGGCCAAAACATGGCTGAGGCACACTCACTGAAGCACACAATTCATCCTGCATCTTTTCCTATGACATTCAGCATGCTGACCCTGCCTGTCTGAAGATGAGCACAGCCCAATGCGCTTGGCAACGCAGGAGCAATTCCCTTCAACCCACCGCCTTGAAACTTAGTAAATCTAGGGGCCTAAATCTTTACCAATACTGGACCGCGCAATTACTCAACACAGCGGGCCTGTCTAGGAAGTAAACCATGGCTTTACACAATGGTGAGCACTTAAGGCAAACATGAAACACTGTGAGGCCATGGAGAATCCTCAAGTGCCGGGCTCACAAGCACAGGCCTTTCAACGGGAATTTCCTTGTGCTCCGTACAGTGCCCAGTAAGGCCCGTAGCTAATGTAGCGCTTAGGCTTAGGAATTGTACACTTCTGCGAAGCGTGCAATCTGCGAAAAAGTTGAGGCTCGCCACCCGCTTGATCAGCACAGTCTTGCCGTCCTGGGCACGACTGTGCTCAATCACATGTCGCGCTACCGAAAGCCCAAGGAGCCGCATCATAATTAAAGAGAAGGCTAAGTCTCTCGCGCAAAGATTTGTTCAGCCTATGGGTCCGGGCCCAGTACTTGGAACAGCTGGACACTGACATAAACTAGTGAACTAGTGACTGTCTTCTCAAGCTTCCGTCACTTTGACAAGCGCACACAACAACTGAGTATAGATAATGGAGCAGTAGGTGATCTCACACCCGCTAGCATCAACACTCAAGTGGACGTCGCGAGAGCGCATATGGGCTGCGCATTATTGTAGCGCATTTCAAAGCGCCATGTTTTGCTTCGCAGTCTCCTTTGATTCGAAGGTGTGGGTTGGGCCTCCAGCACTTAGATTCAAAAGGATGAGCATGGATGTAGCAACGTCACCACAAACAACCCCAGTCTTAGATTCCAAGTTCCATGCCTGGCAATCCTTTGCAACGAATGCTCAGCAGCCCAGCTCAACACTCGCATCCTCTAGCTCCATAAGAAAGGTCAAGGTGCCCAGCCCTGGGACAGATGTCCCGTCTCCTTAGATCACGATCACAGCAGAGAAATCAAGAACATACAGCACTGACACTGCAGGTGTGCAAGCGACTTGGGGTTCCAGGGCCAAAGGAAGCATGGAAATAGGTTTTGAAGGTTGCCAACATTGTTGGGAGTGGGGTCAAAGAGGTAGACAGGATAGCTCTCTCAATATGTAGCAACCCTACATGTCTCAAGGCGCCATGTTCAATTCCAAAGTCCTCTACTGAAAGGTTTAGCCTTCTTGCTCCCATGACTCCACATCCAGGCCAAGGGCACTTCCATCCGTGCGATCGACGTCGACAAGCAGCAAGAGTTCCTAGGTCAGACATGCAATCCGAAGCCTGCGTGTGATGGCAGGGCCCTACCCATGACCACGTTGCGCAGATCGAGAATGCTGAGGGCAATGGCACTGGCCTCTTTTTGTCCACAAACATGTTCGCTTTGCAGGATTTAATGCAAAAGCCAGGCTTGGATTTGTTCGACATGTGAATGGCAGCTTGTCATGTTGTCGCCCCGCTTTTCAGGAGTTCGAAGGCGCTCGTTCTCTTTCGAGTTGCTGTCTGAAAGTAGCTGGCTAGAAGGGGCTGTGCATTTAAGAGTTGCCGCTGCTCTTCCATTGATCTGCCAGGAAATCGCCGCCACAGTCGCCGCAAGTATTGATAGAGACGATAATCTTCAGCCGAGCGTGGAAGACGCCCTTTCTCACTCACAAATCTCGATAGCTCCAGCCATCTCTGTTCCGCATCATGTCTAACCTTTGGGATTCGGCGCTGCCTCCACGACTCAACATAGTCTGCTATCAAAGGGTGGGCCGCCGCTAGCATCTCGCATCTGCGCGCATTCCTGCGACTGTCCGAACCATCGAGTACTGTCCTCCGTTGGCTCTGTAGCCACCCTGCTAGGTAGCGGCCTTCCTCAGCCTTGTTCTGTGCTGTCTTTGGAACTGACTGAACTCGATCAATGTAAAGTCTCAATCTCTCACAGTTCTTGCGAAATCGAAAGTCGGGATCCAGCCAGCCTTTTGCACGCAAAGAAATTTTTGACACTGGGGAGTTGAGTAACTGTGCCTGCCGCTTGGCGGATAGTCTCCTCATGTGGGAGCCAACGTTCTTCAGCCAGTAGAATAGCGACTTGCAGGGCTTATGCTTCGCGTCCGTTGGAGTTGGGAGCCGACCATGCTGCCGCACAAAATCTTCCAATTCTTGCACCCTTGTGTCCCAAGGGTCTCTGCCTCTGCTTCTCAGAAGTGTGACCAGTTCGTGTCTCACGTTGTGCGTTATGGAAGCGAGATCTGCACCTGGCAAGGACCTACAATCTGCGAAGCCCAGCCGAAAGCGTAGGGAGCTTGGAGCATTCAGCAAGAAACCATCAGCACGGGCAATAGCTGACAAAAAGCGTTCCAGCTGCGAACCGAAGCCCTCTGCTCCTTGCTCCACAGAGCTGGGCAGCCTGAGCTTCTTACGCACTTGAATATTATCGCACCTGCAGGTCTTACGTATTTTGAAAGAGTCCTGAGCATGTGGCACATGCTTAGACGCAGAATTGGCCTTGTCAGCACTTGCCGGGAGAGTTGTGCGGACGAGATTGCCCGCAAAGAGGCCCTCTGTTGGAGGACTTTTCGTGGAAGAACTTCCATGTTTCGCGCCTTCAGCCTGCACGCCTGTCCGTTCATCACGTTCCCAGTCTGACATGCCGGCTTGCTTTCCGCAGGCGGGTTTCTGGGTTTGTTTGCGCTTGCTCGATGAAGGCACTCGTGCCGACGTTGTCCGCGAAGACTCATATGCCGGCTGGCCTGTCCTACAGGGCATCACCTCAACTTCATGTGATTGTACAACGTTGGAACTGAAATGGCCTGTATCGCCTGATGAAAAGCTGCCGTGCAGCTGGCTCTTGGCATCAAAGGCTGTTGATTCTAGTTTGTGTGAATTTGTAGGAGGCACCGCCACGGCTGGCAAGATGATGTGAGCAAGTGGCTTGGAGATGTGCTGGCGCAAAACTCGCCCCATTGCTTGAACAATGACGGTGTAGCTGCTGCGCGGCTCCACAAACATGCACGTGTCCACATTGGGAATATTTACACCTTCCCCGAGCACTTGAACTGTCACGAGAACATGCACTGGTTTTCGCATATTGCCTGAGAACTCCTCAATGACTTCTTGGCGCTTCTTGCGCCCTGTGTGCGAATTCATGTGCCATGCAGCCATGCCCAAGATTTCAAAACTGCGCCTGACCCGCTTGGCTTCCAGCACACTGTTACAATATGCCAAGACTCTCCTGAAGCGGCCAGCATTGGACAAAAGCAGGTTTGCCAAACACACGTAGGCATGGCCCTTGCTTAAGACTGGCACTGTGAGGTCATAGTCACACAGTACCCCATCTTCAATAGCCTGCCCCATGTTGTACCTGAAATCTGTCTTCATCCGGTGAGTAGCTGAAAAGTGATACAGCTCCTCACAGCGTGGCAGCCCAGCAGGAAGTGGATGATGGGCCTCATCCAAGATGATGCACTTGAACGCAAGATCCTGCAGAAGATGCACCGAATCGGAAACTGCGATGAAGCCCGGGGCTTGCTTCTTCATGTTCTTGTTATAGCCGGTTCCCACTTTGCAAAAGCTTGGAAATTCTGGTGCGAACTGCTCCAGCAAGAGGCGCGAAGGCACAACAATGAGCACCTTCGTCACAAGTAGCAAGTCTGCTAGGCAATCTTACGGCTGGCAAGTGTGCCTCCTAACATGATGCCGTGCACAAAATGACTCCAAGTTGCCTGGCCGGATGCGTTGCGAACCAGCTCCCGCATGACTCGTGTCTTGCCAGTGCCACAGGCCATTTCAATGACCCGTGCCCCTTTGCTGCATGCGGCCAAGCAGTCCTGACAGGCCCCGAAGATGCAACAGGGATTGAGACCTTAAGCTTTGGCTTCACAACTCAGCCACTCATGGTGTAAACACCGGAAATCTGGGCCTCTTGACAAGGTCGTAGAGGCGGAAGGCTGGCAAAACTGCTCGGTCTCGTCCGCATGTCGCCGGTGACGGCTTGGGTCGAGGTGGCCAACAAGCGTTTAATTTCTGCGCTGCTGATGGTGCGGTGCTTGGCGCCGCATTTTTTGAGCTGCTTCTGGGATTCAAGCGGAAGCTTGGTACCCCTACGTGTCAGCAGCAAACAATCGTTGACCTGCTGGTTGCTTCTCTGATCTGAAGAACAAATGATTAATATTGATTAATTACCTGTTCAGATTCAAGCCCTCGTATGCGCCTTTGAAGCAAATCACAAGCTGCTTAGCTTAGTCTACGCAAGCTTTCGCAACTCCAGGCCTTGCAAACCCATCGGGCAGTCCGTAAGAAGCGCTTGATGTCGCGGTGGAGGCTGGTGAGATTTCCGTTGGCGGTGCAGCAAAGAACGGCGGTTCTCCCATCAATGCTGAGAAGATCCACACCTGGGAAGAATATTCGTACTGGAAATTGTAGCAGTAGCAGTCTTGCTGAAGCATGATTTGATTTCAACCGCCCACATGCCAGACACAGCGAAGTTCATGAAACCATCTCACTGCAGCTCAATGTGCGGCTCAAGACCACACACTTGTCAAGACAATCTACCTTGAGTGTTTCAGGCTCAGGCCCATTTCCCGGCGTGACAGATTCTTGCGCTCCAAGAACCATGGAGGTAACTCCTCACGGTGAAGACGAAAGATAATGTTAATCTGTATAGGTGTGAGCTGGCAACCTGACCTTAATGTCTGCAGTACAGCCGCTGCAAGGTGATACGGGGAGGCATACCAAAAGAGTGACAGGTGAGGTGACAGGTAAGGTAGCGAGCCTGAACAGCACAGCATCAAGAATTGAAAGCCGAAGACGCAGAGGCTCCTGCAGAGGCACGGCACCAGTCTTCAGCACGGCGGCCCACATCAATTTCCTGGCTCGCGCGTTGTCTATCTGGCACATGGGGTGCAGGTGTCAGGGTATGAATATTCAGGATGTCCATGCAGGGGCTAGCGTTGCTTAGCATCTGGACTGGCCTGGAACGTGGACCGCCGTTTTAGCTGTGGCATTGGCACAAACAACGAAAGAGCAAATAGAGCAAATGCTCCAACCCAGGAAAGGCCACAGAAAGGTTTTTGTTCCTTCCGTGGCTGTCCGTCCCCCCAAACTCGGTCTGACAAACACGAAGGTGTAGAGACGATTTATGATCCTAGAGCCTATCAGGCTTGAACTACTTGGGCTTCCTGACAAACCTTTGCCTACGGGGTTCCAATTTGCTGGCACCCCATGGAAGGCGGAACTCTACCTTACATGGAACCCAGGCAGAATTTCACTTGTGAGTTGGACATCCGAATTCAGAAAAGACATACCATTCACTGTTTCAAGAGAACCTTCTCGATGAGTCTATCCAGGCGTCTTCTGCTCTGGCAGTTGGGGCCATGTCAGAACCTCCGCTGCCAGCCCACGCACGCGGGCCAGGAATGCGTCCTCCTTCCCTTAGTAAACGCATGCAAAGGGAGATAGTCAATGCTTGGGCTCTACTACCAGCGCGGTTATTCTTGGGTTGGAGCTGTCCTGTCTGGCAAGCTTGCTGCAGCAACCCGCCCTGCGGCGAATATTCTCAACCAACAGTACTTATTAAAGCTTGCGAGTAAATAGGAATTTTGATCTGGAGGTCAAAGGCAGCAGCAAAGCACACAGGATGCTAACCTACAAGTTGTAATACGGGGAAGCCATCGTGCCCCAGCTCAAGGGAATTGCTCTTCCTAAAGTGGCACCCCGTGAGTGCCTGGAGCGTGTTCAGAAAGCAAGATAAGATGTGCACAAGTAAAGCAAACAGTTCTGATCAAGTACAAGTTTCTGCTAACGGCGGCCGCAGCTGAATCACTTGAGGCCTGGAAGGTCGTCCTGGTCACAAGAGTAATCCTATACTTCAGCATCTCACAGCACGGTCATCATCAACAAAAACGCAGCAAGCACAAGAAGGAACTATCGTAAAGGGTTCAAGGAGCAAACTAGGATGAGCTGGTCACCCCTTTCATGCCCCTGTCCTTGGAACCTTGGCGAAGGATGTCGCAGAGTGATCCACCAGCAAGCCCGCTCCCGTCCAGGCCATGCCCAAAACAAGCCAGACCATACTGAAGAGCAATTTTCTTCTGCGGCGCAGGTGGCTCAAGCTGTGGCTTTGCAGAATACTGTAACGAAAACGCCGCGCAAGTCTCCACAGCATGCTCAACTTCGCAGCCATGGAGAAGAACCTAGATACGCAGCAGTCTTTCTGTCTGAAAAGGTGCGGCAGCTATCCGAATTCCATGCCATTTCCGTAGCCGGTCAGCCGGTATGGCTGGCGCGCAAGAGCATCTAAGGTCGAGCCGGAACAAGCAATCGAGGCCGTCGCTGAAGGGGAATAGGTTTACGGCCTTCCCACAACCCACTAGAATCTTGATGGCAACTGGGCTGGTGCTTTTTTTAAGGACATGGGCCTCTATCCAATGTCCACAGAGATCCATCACTCAGTCTTAGGCCCGGATGCGTACGCAACAAAGCCCACCTGCCCTCTCAAACAAGAACGTCATGCCCATCCACGGTACCCGCATGCCATTTATGCAGGAGGCTCCACTTAACATAGTAGTCCATGTAACGCTGAAGCTCACAAGACCCAAGAAGACCCTCAACAGTTTGCGTGCAGGCCTACGCCCAATCCGAAAAACTCGGCCTTACCCTTACGCGTGAATCCCGTGGACCTGCGACCTTGACAAGCCAATTTTTCATCCAGACAAACATCGGACTCAACTGCCGTAAGCTCCATGGAACGCAACACAAGATTGCAACCTGGGCACGGCCATGCTGCTGATGTTGAAGCCATAGCCCGGATGAAAGAAGACTTCAGGCCCAGGTGCACATGTGGCTTAGGGCTTAGGGTTCAGGAAGGCTGGAATAAGGGTTGGGAAGTGGGAAGGTTATGTCTCAGCTTTCCGCTGTATCAGATGGTCTTGCGTATAGGGTCAATTTTGGATGTTGGGGTTGCATCAATGAATCCACCTCGAGACTGCGCAACATTACCGGGGCCAGATATTGTTGCTATATTGGGTTCTTGTGGGCTATACAAGAGTATACTGGAAAAGAAAAACGGAAACTACGCTTCAGTCTTTTGGTTTAGGTTCCAGCCGGCACCTCTCCTGTCCTCACTTTCCATATGTCACAGCTGGCACTGTCGATCGTTCTGCTCTAATCCTGTTGTGGCGACTTGTATGGTTCCCATGCTTACCACATATCTGTTGCACAAGCCGGTGTCGCAGGCAACTCTCCGTACTTAAGNNCCAAAAAAAAAAAAACCCTCGCAAACCTAGGAAGTGCACCAGAACCAATTGGCGCAAGGTATAGCTGTAAGTATGGATGCTTTGTCAAGTTGCAGAACTCCAATGTGCTATGGAAGTTTTTGCATGAAGTAAGTAAGGGGGCCCCCGCGTTCTGAGGCAACTCCCATGTCATCTTTTGTAAAGCCATATGCAGGTCATCCGCCCTCAGCGGGCTTGCTGCTTCGAAGGGACCTGGGCAGCCAAACAGGTGGGGGGCCTTCTTGAACTTCAGGTACTCATAATACAGAACCTCTTGAGTACCCGGGTCTTGGGGAAGTAGGGGAGCTGCAACTTGAGAAGCTCTCAAAATTGCACGAAACTGGCGATACTGCTGTCTCCACCTCTGATGGTTAGTCCTGCTGGTGTTGATTAGGGAGACGGTTTACTGTTGTAAGAACTGAGGCACATGTTGGACACAGTGACTAAGAAGAAACCGACAACCGCAACGCCGCGTGCAACACAGACCAGCTTCCGAATCATAGGCACATGTCAAACTGCAACTCAACCTTGAGATCCTCATGCACAGGCAAACAAACCCCGCAGCAGAAGCTGGGTAAGACCTCCAGTTTTCGTATGTTTTCTTCTGAAAGCTCTCACCCTGGCCCAAGCCCCAAGCACGCATGCTCATGTGGTAGAAGCCCTATGATACCTTTATTATTGACTCCTCCCTTTTTGAAATTTCTGACCCCGGCCCAGGCATAGATGATAACAATATGAATACTCATACAGTGACACAAATACTGGTACTAATCAAAATATGTATGGTAATACTAATGACAGTAATGTTGGGCCCTCTTTAATG